ACAGTCGCATGCAATCTAATTATGGTCAGTCAACATTCAAGTTGCAAGGATGACGTCGAAGAAAACCTCCCTGTAGTTATTTCAAAAATATATCGTTCACATAAGGCGAATGGTAGTAATAATTGTGCCGTTGATTGCTATTATACTCTTGGCTGCGGAATGTGCTTGAAAAACTTGTGCGATGAAGATTATTTGATTTCCACATTATGACTGAGCGAACATTCACAAAGAAATTTCGATCGCGATTATTGGGTATGAAATATTTTACAATTGCCAATAGTATAGTACACACAGTTTGAATAGAATGATCAAAGATCGTCCGATTAAACAAATAACTTTTTAATGGGTAAATTACAAAGTTGATGCTTATTAAATACCGTAGAATCTGTACACACTGGGTTCGGTTGGCAGTACAATTAAATAGCAAATTATAACATTCACTCACTTTTGCTGAGAAGTTAGGTGGTTCAACGCTTCCTTCAGTCGTGACTTGAATGAATGATGGTTGGTGCACAAACAACTTGAGGTGAGAGTTCCAGGTAGTACCAACTCTGGGGCTGAAAGAATGACTCTTACAATCTAGCCGACTCTTTTGGAGCAAAACTTTAAATGGATGTCCTCTGAGGTGACCATTCCTGGATAGTGTTGGTAAAGTATCACACGGATGGTAAGGTCGATGAAGTATTTAATATACGAGGGTCATGTGTTACGGGTGCCAATGGCCGGCAGGCGAACAGACAGTGTCACTGACCTTGACCTTTTGTGATGTCATGATTATCGCTCTTATCATGTGGTTTAGTGCGGACGCATTCATTCAGACATACACGGATCCGACGATCAGACGGTATTCGTTCTTCCTCTCGCTCTGGGCGATCAGGGAACATAACAATTGGCGACGAAAAAAAACCCACGCGTTCAAGACAAAACAAAACCATGTCAAACCAAATGGAAATGTTCATGCAAATGCTTCACACACAAAACAAGCTCATCGAAGCGTTAGCCAAAAAGATGGATCAATCTTCATCGCTTCAATCGATAAATGCAGGTCTAACCAGTGACAACCTCGCCAATGCAATTACAGGATTCACATATGACACCGATGCAGAATTGACGTTCGAATCATGGTACGTAAGATTCGGGGATATATTCACCGTGAATGGTGCTCAGTGGGAAGACACTGACAAAGTAAGACTGCTCAAGCGCAAACTTGGCCCAGTTGAACACCAACGATATACCAATTATATCTTACCTAGTAAACCAACGGACGTACAGTTTTCAGAAACAGTGAAGTGCCTTACCCAAATATTCAGTGCTCGTGCTTCATTATTTCATACACAATATCAGTGCCTCCAAGTCAAGAAGACACAGTCAGAAGATTTTGTGACATATGCAGGGAGAATCTATCTGGAGGCTGTGTGGTTCAAACTAAAGGACCTCTCAATGGACCAGTTCAAATGTTTGCTATTCGTCAATGGATTACAGTCAGCCACGGATGCAGAACTGCGCAATCGTATACCGTCACACATTGAAAATTCCCCGGACCTCACTCTGCATAACATAACAGAGGAATGTCAACGGGTCAAGAACATAAAAATGGACTGCGCATTGATAGCGAAAGGTTCGGACTACAATACTGTGAATCGGTTACAAGTTTCTTGAACAAACGGAAACCTTGGAAAGCACCAATCAACCCGAAATCTAGACCGCCTACAGCATGCTGGAAATGTGGCGACTGGCATTTTGTGAAATACTGTCCCTATGCCGACCGAATCTGTCAGGTGTGTGGTAAAAAAGGACATAAAAACATAAACTGTTACCGTTACAAACAGCCATCATCCAACCAAAATGGATAACAACGAAAACCTTCAGTGAGTCACTCAGAGTTATTGTATAACTCTGGTATTGTTCTGTCTGCCACTACAAAATTCTCCTCTAGACGGAAATTTAAGTCTATCGTTGTTAATAGTATCCCTTTAATTTTTCAGTTTGACTCTGCGTCAGACATTACTATTTTGACACGCCATTCATGGGAAGCTCTAGGCTGTCGAGCTCTCCAACAAACCAATAATTCAGCCTATAACGCTTCGGGCAAACAAATGGTTATTGCTGGGATAGTCAAATGTGTATGTAAATTTCGTGACACGATATTTACCTTCACGGCTTAAGTTGCCAATGACTGTTCCCGCAAACTAGTTGGCATTCAGTGGATTGATAAATTGGGACTTTGGGATATTCTTGTGAACTCACTCTTGCAGCAAAGAGATCAATTACGTATTTTCATCTGAAGTACCAAAACATTGGTCCACAAGACAAAATGGAGATGTAACTCACCTCATCTCCCAATTGCAGACGGAACATAGCACAGTTTCTCCAACAGTTTGGGATTATTCTCCAAGGCCAAAGCGACGCTGTATCTCAAGCAGAAAACGAAAGCCGTATTCAGGCCAAAGAGACCAGTTCCGTATGCCGCGGTGGACCAGGTCAGTAATGAGTTAAATCGGCTTCAAACAGCTGGGGTCATAGGTCCAGTAAACTATTCAGAATGGGCAGCACCAATGGTGGTTGTGAAGAAACCCAAGGGTATGCTTCGCATCTGTGCAGACTTCTCAACAGGTTCAAATGATTCGCTGGAGATACATCAGTCACATCTTCCAGTGCCCGAGTATCTGTTTGCCAAATTGAACGGCGGAAGCATATTTTCAAAGATCGACTTGTCCGAAGCTTATTTACAAGTTGAAGTCGACGAGGGATCAAAGCCTTTATTGACCAAAAATACACATAAAGGGCTNTACATCAGTACCCTCTTCCTGTACCTGAGCCAGTCCACAATCCGCTTTCTTAGAAGCACATTTTATATATTGGGTTTCCCAGAGGTCCTCGTTTCAGATAACGGTGTCCAGTTTACAGCCCACGAATTTTCCGAATTTTGTTGGCATTGTACACATACGAACCCCTCCGTGTCATCCACAATCAAACGGTCAAGTTGAGCGATTTGTGGACACTTTGAAAAGACACATACGAAAATATGCGGAGAACCGGCAGTTAGACAGTGTTATTGACCTATTTTTGATGAACTACAGAATCACTCCAAATGAAAACATGCCAAGTACTGTATCACCTAGTGAATTCTTCTTGGGGACGAAAATAAGGACAAAATACGAAACGATGTTCCCTAAACTACCCGCAAACGACCGTTGTATGGCACCAATGGAAGTTCAAAAGTCACAACCAAAACGGGGATTCAATATCGGTGATAAGGTGTATGCAAAAGACTTCAGAACACATCGTCAAACATGGACTTCAGGAACTATAACAGGAAAACGAGGACACGTTGTGTATGAACTGCAAGTAGGAACAGAAAANCCTTTGGTGCTCAATATACACCTGCCGTATTTCAGCAGATAATGGACACTAGGTTGGCTGGATTCCCTTTCGTCAGTTGTATGGGGTAGTATTTGGTTCCCCAAAAAATAGAAGAAACTAGTCTTATGTCGCATGACAATAAATCTGCATTTGGAAATGTGGAACTCGATGTTATTGACGATTGACCGTCGGTAGGCTGCATTGTTCGTTTGTTGGAGTGG